TGATATAGAAAGCTAGTGCTTGCCGAACATCAAGGGAGTGCCCCTCTGCCCATGGCGCAGGGCATGTTTACATCAGCTGCCTATGGCCCCAAAGGCCGTCCGAGCACATGGGGATCTGCTGGGCAGCCAGGAGGACGGGTTGTGTAGCAGGTGTTATGACCACTCCAAAATCCCACTACAGTGGACTGCTCCGCCAGTGACCAGCTGGATTGCAAGTTGTGGTCCTTTTATATGTGGCTACTGGGAGCCTGGTTCTCCACCGCCGTTGTCATTATTCACACCCGTGCAGATGAATGCAGAGTGGGTGCAAAGCACAATCTGAACTGCAGCTGAGTAGAGAACGCTGGTTTGGTAGCATTTTGCATGCACCCTTTGCACAGATGTAAATACAACACAAGGTGCAGGGCAGCAGAGAAACATGCTCCAGATGGTTCTGTTTACATGGCAACACTTGTAAAATGGAGTCATCATAACAAAGCCCTCTAGTTCCTGTGCCCTGTATCATGGATCAGCAAGGACTGGGGGTGCACATTAATTTTTGTATCTGCTCTGTTTAGTTCCTGTGTAAAGGTATTTGTGATGCATGTAACTTTCCTTTAGGAGCCAGACTGGTGACAAAAGAAAAATGCACCTATACGAAGAACACCGTGTGCGGCTGTGCCCCGGGGGATTTCTGCAGGCACATTGCAGGCCTGGACTGTGAAATGTGTAGTCGCTCCACCATCTGCCCCCCTGGCTATATGGTGGAAGAACCTGGTAAGGCAACATAACTTCTGTAATACCAAGGCAAACCCCTGCAGTCACAGAACGAATCTGGAGCAGGGCAAACTGGCTGAGAGTCAATCAGGGTGAGACTGAGGTGATGCTGGGGAAGCAGCCGGAAGAATGGCTGGGCTGTACATGGGCCCCCCTCACTGAGGGAGCGGGACTGCCATTTGTAACGCCCTTGCACAGCTCCAGGGTGGCGTCAGAGCTTGTGCTAACTGGATGCCCAGGTAACAGCTGTGGCCAACTTCTGTCCATCTGGGCCTGGCCAGACGCCTCTGACCTCTTCTCCCCAAGGCAGGAGTCTCTGCTGACCTGTGCTCTGCCCGGGGCCACCCCTTAGGCCTGTGCAGAATGCTGCAGCCTACTGACAGAGCGGAGTTGCCTGTTGGTCGCATGTAGGAATTGGCTTTGACCTATAGAGACAGAAATGGTTTGGGTCCTGACGGCCTCTGTCCCCGGCGCACACGGCCCCAGCTGGGCTCAGCAGAGGCGCTCACGATGGAGCTCCCTCAATATACATAGGGGGCAGGGGCGTGAAAGTGAGGAAGCACTGGGGTTCCTCCACTCTGAAATTGCTATTCCCTGCCCTGGGCCCTGCCCTAGAGCTGGGCCATGTTCATCTTCCAGGACATCTCCCTCCTAAACAAGCATGAAATATACAGGGGCGAGGTTAAGTGTGTCACAGGGTGTGACGAGCTCAGACTCCTCTGGGTGTCGTTGGACACTCACATGATGCTCTTGCAGGCAGCAATTTGCATGAGGCCGTGGGTTTGTACTCACACATGTTGGCAGCCCACCTACGCAGCAGCAAAGTGCAGTGTGAGTTCAGCTTCCGCTTGTACAAACAGAGCTCCCTCAAGCACGTTTTTGGGCACAGAATTCTGTTAGTAAGACAAGTGTGCTAAACACATCCCTTTTGGAGCTCCCAAGGTGCAAAACAGATTTGTTCAGCAACACTTTTTCTACTGGTGCAGAATCTCCGTTAATTACACTGGAGTACATCACTGCTGTAGACACATAAGTCCCTTTACAGAGACTGGGTGTGGATCCAGGCAAGGGTCCATTGTTAAGGCTTTTGATCAAGGGCACATGTGAGTTCCAGACTAACCAAAAATACCTCACGGTTCTTCGCTCTAATAACTAATGAGTTTGACTGTCCAGCCAGGCGTGTTTCTGAAGGTGGATACTGAGTGGGGTGATGTGAGCTTAACGCACTTTGAGGTACTGGGATGGAAGCTGCTGTTAAGAAGCCGAATGTGTGTTGTTGTTCCATTCACACATCACCCAGGCTGTTCAGTAGCATTTCTACACTGCGACTGAAAGGGAGGTTGCAGAGAAGTGCAGGAAAAGGCAAACGGGCGCCTTACAATGACACTCTAGGAAGGGACCTCATTATGTCAGTGTCAACAGGGAATGGGGTGAGGCAGCCTGCCAGGAGCCCAGGAACCTGTGGGGCAGCCAGGCTCCTTGCACAGAGCTGCCAGCAGAGCTGGGAGACCATGCTCTCAGCTCCCCACACTGCCCCTCTGAGATCGGTGGAAGCCCTCCTGGTGAGGACATGCCCCACTGGCCCAAGGAGGGGAGTGTGGACATGCACCACAAGGGCACTTACTGTGGTGGCTGTAAGTCGACCTAATATATCCATAGGTCTGCAAGTCCAAGTCCCAAAACCCGAGTGCCCCCCACCCCTGCTATGTTCTGTTGCAGCTTTTGTGCTATTACACAACGTGGCGCCATTATTGAGTCTTACCGTTCCTTTGGGATGTTGGCCCTTGTAATGGCCCAGGTATGTGGGGCAGCAGGAGGTGCATTTTCCCCCATGTACCTGTGCTCTATGAGTACTGATGGATTTAAGTACGGGGCAGGAATAAAACACCAGCGCAGCTGTATTCTTAAAGTGCTAACTCCTGAACTGACGGAGATGGCTGTGCAACATGGTGGTGGTGGTGGTGACAGTGAGGAGATGCGGATGGAGACCTTTCTGAATTCAAAGTTCCCTTAGGCCCCACGTTCAGGAAAGAATCCAGTTATGTCATCCTCTTTTATAGGCACAGAATTCCTTGACAACGTATGTGAGGTTTGCCCTGATGGAACCTTCTCAGCAACCAACATGTCACGCGCCTGTCAGCCATGGACCAGGTAGGTGACTCTGACTACACATGGCCTTTTCCCTTGCACTGACTTTACACGCTGCGTTCTCTCCTTTCATTCATTGTTATTTCTTTGTACTTGAATTTTGCGGCTCTATCAGACCTGGTTAGAGATGCCCTGAAGTTCAGCAGCTGGGAAACGTAACCCTAAATCAGTAGGGCTGTGAGCTGTGTGGTGGGGAAATCCTTCCCCCAGGAATCCCTTTCCGTACTCTGGGCACTCTCTGTGAGGGCTGGATTCACCTCGGGGCTGTTTATAACTGTGACATGGGATGGCCGGTGGATTCCAACTGCAGCCCCCTCTGCCAGATCCTCTCTGCACAGAGCCCAGTGACATGGCGGAGACACTGTGTGGAACCAGGCCCTGGGCCATACTGGGACTGGCCACCCATGCAGTGTAACAGCCCCAGTTCCATGGCCAGAGCGCCATGGCCACACAGGAGCAGGCAGGGTTCGCCCTTTACAGAACACAGATTACAAATACACATGGCACATGTTAGAATTAAGAGTTGAAAACCAGCTCCTCCTTCGATTATCCACCAAGTCCTAAAGACCTTTCTGCCTCCTTGGCATGGGCAGCTGGGGGCCAGTTCAGTCCCTGACACAGGCTAGGTCAGTTCTGAGGCCTACCAGTGGCCATGGCCCCTTGGGGCCACTAATGGGGTGCAGAACTGCCCTGGCCATGCCCCCTCCCTGGGCCAATCCATCTCTGGCCTGCCCCCCGCACCACCATGGCCCACCTGTACCAGGTGAGGTTCCATCCCAACCGCACAGCCCATCTGTCCCACAAACAGTGCAAAGAAGCTGTAGAGCAATGGTGAATCTGGCCCTTCGGCTCACTTAGGGTTTGCTCTGCAATGGATGATTGTCTGAGGCGTTCCCAAGTCAGAGTGGGAGCACCACTTCCTGTGCTGCTTGGGTACGTACCTCAGTGACACTAGCATTGAAAACACAGACTCCTACGCTGAGGTGTGGGCAGGTAAAAACTTCTGTGGTCAGTACAGTGAATTTCTTGTCTTTGTATTTTTCAGTCTAATCCTATGTTCTGTTAACAATTTGGGCCCTTATAACTTAATTTTCCAATGTGCAAGCATCTACCGCTCAAAGGGCCCAATCCTTCAGCCTTGAAATGAGTAGGGAGTTTGGCCTGTCCAGAGCCTGCAGGATCATGCCCACAATCTGGATGGGGTTTTATCATATTTGATCCACTATATTAAGGAATCCACCTGGTGGAATGACGGGTGTACCGAGACTGTGAGAAGGCTGTGGATACGCTGACACATTTAATAACATGTCTTCCTTCATCTTAGGTGTGAAGAGGAAGGGATGACAGAACAAAAGGCCGGGACAGCCACTTCTGATGCAGTTTGTGTACAAAGAGGCCTTTCTACCACAGTGATAGCAGTGATAATAGTCCTTGCTCTCTCACTTTTATCTGCATTTGCTGGAACAATGTACTTTTTTTGGTGGAAGAAGAGGAGGAAATATGGGTTAACACGTAAGTCAGAAAAGCATGGGACCTGTGAAACCTGTCAAATGGTCTCTAAAGGGGTCAGACTGGCAGAGTTCGTATTTGGCACATTGGTCTTTGTTTCACCCTGGAACATGCCAACCTGTAACTGGAATTGCCTCTTCAAACTGAGAATCCCTGTGAGAGTCTAAATCTCTCTTCTTTAAAGGGTTGCATTTAAGATGCGCTAGCCCTAAATTTGACCTATTTTATGGGATAAACTGGCTGGTCCCAGGCCAGGGTTCTGTGCTATCGCACCAGCTGCAGTGGATATGCCCCCTGCCCAGCTTCGGAAGATCCTCTCCCTCCCCAACTCATGGCCAAAACTGGCCTTTTTCCCAGGTTCTGCAGTGGCTGAAAATACCAGCTGTTCACATTCTCCAAGCAACCTCGACCAGTTCTCCCCTGCTTATGATCTTTCCCGCTTGTATCTGATACGTGCTTAGAAAGTTCCCTTTTTATTCGCTGGGGGAGCAGTGATGTTAATGGAACGGGAGTTTGGGCTCTACTCATAACCTGCTACTGCTGCAGAAATCAGCATCTCAGTTTTGCCCCATCATTTGTCCACCAAGAGAAGAACATGTTCTCAGGTCCAAGAGAGAACCTTGTTTACTGGTTCTAACTGGGGACTGGGAATCAGGACTCCTGGATAATATTCTCAGCTCTGCCAATGACCAGAGGTGTGAATTTTTGCAAATCGCTCAATTTCCCTGTGCCAGTGTAGCTGTTTGACATAATGCCCCCTTATAGGGTTGTGTGGTTTGCTGTTTGCAAAACTCTTTGAGATCCTTAGTGGTTAGGAGCTGTATCAATACAAAGCATCGTTAGAGCCCAAAATCACATTGGATTAACATTGTCACATAACCACCTTCCTCTCCCAGCGGGGTGATTCCTCAAGATGCTGCTAAGTGTAGTGCAAAGCCACCAGTGGGGCCATGTTCTGTGGATGTGCACCCACATGGCCCCACTGAATCGCAGAGAGCTGTACGTGCGTCTAAGGGCAGGACTTGGCCCTGAGACATTAATACAGAAACACAAATACAAAATGCACCAGACTGTTTTCTGACGAGATTCCTTTTTCTTTGCAGCTTCACAGGAGACAGGGGTGAGTTGTCTGGTCTTTTATTTACTATGCACAAGCACCTGGAGCAGGGGTTTGCTTGAGTGTCTCTGCCATGGCTATGTCTGCTTGCCGCAAGTGTGTGTGTGTGTGTCTCTCTCTATGTGACTTTGGAGCAAGTCACTTAAACATTATGGTCCAGATCCTCAAAAGTATTTAGGCTCTTAATGTCCACTGATTTTAAAGGTATTTAGGTTCCTGATTTCGATGGAAGTTTGGAGCCTAAATATCTTGGAGGATCTGGGTAATTATGCCTTACTTTCTGCATTGGTAAAATGGGAAAAATACCTACCTTAGGGGATACCAAAGACTTGACTCTTCCCCCCACACTTACACATTCATACCCTGTGGCTGTGCAAGGCCCTGAAAGCAACAGAGCCAATTCCCTGGGCTGTGCATAGAAGCTCTCCCGTTGGCGTAGTAGTGTCTTCACTAAAGCGCTACAGCAGCTCAGGTGCAGCTGTTTAAGTGTAGACTTTCCCTTAAATTCATAACTCTGCTAGATACTAAGGGCTTGTCTACACTGGCTGGTAGCTACACCCCTTGTGGAGGTGGGTTTTTTAGAGTACTGGAAGAGCTCTCTCCCAGCGCTCTGCCGCGACCACACAAGTCACATTAAAGCGCTGCCATAGCAGTGCTTCACCGTTGCCTGTGTAGACTAGCCCTAAATCATGGACTCCGCAGAGACACCGGTTGTACCAGTCATTACAACCGTTTGTAACCTACTAACCCTGCTTTGTCCTCTGACTTGCAGAGGTGTTAATTGCCCACTTTGTTTAAATGGTTTATTGCAACATGTGTTAACCGCTTATGCTTAACAATCTGTCCCACCTTTAGCTGTTACACCCTGGAAGGAGAGCTCTGGGAAGCTCAAAAGCTTCTCTTCCATCAACACAAGTTGGTTCAAGAAAATATATTACCTTACGTACCTTGTCTACCTTTCAGCATATTTGGTTTGGAAATGTATATTTCTAGAAAAGTTGCTGTTTTATGCCGGGTTTATCTATATTTTTATGGCATTACACAGTTTAAGATGATGTGAAATTAGCTAGTTACAAAGTCTTAAGATCCGTCCAACAAACTGGACACTTTTTATAGGAAAAAATTATGCCAGACAGTATAACTTACACTTTTGTTCTAAGTGGGGAACAACGTTAATAAGTATTATAATACTTCATCGTAATGAATTAGAAAACAAACTCTAAGAAAGAGAACTCTAGCAGTGATAGGTAAATGTACCAGCCATTTGATGGTTAGTAACTGAATGTTCATAATGTCTTTGTTTGACTTTGTCATATTTTAAAGGATGAGTCAAAAGTACAAGATGAGAGAACTTCGATGCAGCCTACAGAGAATGGGACTGATAACAGTCCTACTCAGGAACAAACAAAGGCAAGAACAGTGGGGAAAGAAAGAAAGCCATTGTTCTGTCTACACGTGGAATAGGAGAAACACAGGCAGAGCTAAGGCAAATGGCCACCAGCTGAAGGATCTGGGCTACTTTAGAAAAAGCTGAATGATCAAGGTTAGATAATTGATCAGAGTTTTGGAAGATTCATCTTCATTGAATTTCAGCGATCATCATCAACTTGAGTTTGTCTGACTAAGGCCTGTTATGCTGAAGCCTTCCTCATGGACACATTGTTAGGTGGAATGTCTGCAGACTCTGGGCTCTTGGGCTATGTCTACACTTGCCATTTAAAGCATAAAAAGTCCCTGTTTTACACAAAAACCTTGGGAGCGTCTACACTTGCCAATGACAGAAGTTTCACAGCAAACAGAAAACCACCTCCACGTGAGATGCAAGTGGAGACATGTTCTTCCTGTGTAAACAGCTTTTAGCCTCCAGGGTATCCCACAGTGCCTAGGGCGATCACTCTGGCCAGCAGCTCTGCTGCTCTGAGCCCAGATAAGCAGACGTCCGCCCCTCTCCCTGTAAAGCCCTGGGAACTTTGAAACTCCCCATCCTGTTTTGTTTGCAAGTGCTCATCTGGCCAAGTGACCATGGATGCTTTATAGAGCAAACGATCCGCCGCTGGGACACCTATGCTCATGCAGCCCCTGCCAGAAGAGCTATAGTGGGATAGCTGCCCTCAGTGCGCTGCTGTCATGGGCGATGGAAGTGCTGCAAATGTAAACACTCTCTGATGCTTATGGAAGTAACTGAGTACAGGAATCAGCACTTTTCTTTCACCGGTTCCCTATCACCGGTGAAACTGACAGCACAAAAACTCTGCAAGTGTAACATAGCCTTGGTTTCATTCAGTGACTACACTTAAAATTCCATTTATTCATTACAGTGTTTGAAAGTTCCCACTCACATATCACACGGGGCTTTCCAGCCACAAACACTTGCCTGGTATCCAGGAATCTCTACGGGACCAGTTGCTCTTCTGACTATATTGGACCAGATGACCACATAATCAAAATGTTTTTTATACATAGCTTTCATTTTATAACAGGGCAAGAGAGGGTGGGGACAGAAATGTTGCATTGCTGTAAATATTAGCTCTTAATAAAAAGTCAAGGAAAGTGCGGGCCCCTTACTGAATGAGGGAGGCAACCTAGTGGCAGAGAATGTGGAAAAAGCTAATGTACTCAATGCTTTTTTAGCCTCTGTCTTTACGAACAAGGTCAGCTCCCAGACTGCTGCACTGGGCAACACAGCATGGGGAGGAAGTGAGCAGCCCTCTGTAGAGAAAGAAGTGGTTCAGGACTATTTAGAAAAGCTGGATGAGCACAACTCCATGGGGCCGGATGCACTGCATCCAAGGGTGCTAAAGGGAGTTGGCGGATGTGATTGCAGAGCCATTGGCCATTATCTTTGAAAACTCATGGCGATCGGGGGAGGTCCCAGATGACTGGAAAAAGGCTAATGTAGTGCCCATCTTTAAAAAAGGGAAGAAGGAGGATCCGGGGAACTACAGACCAGTCAGCCTCACCTCAGTCCCTGGAAAAATCATGGAGCAGGTCCTCAAGGAATCAATTCTGAAGCACTTAGAGGAGAGGAAAGTGATCAGGAACAGTCAGCATGGATTCACCAAGGGCAAGTCATACCTGACTAACCTAATTGCCTTCTATGATGAGGTAACTGGGTCTGTGGATGAGGGGAAAGCAGTGGATGTGTTATTCCTTGACTTTAGCAAAGCTTTTGATACGGTCTCCCACGGTATTCTTGACACCAAGTTAAAGAAGTATGGGCTGGATGAATCGACTATAAGGTGGATAGAAAGCTGGCTAGATCATCGGGCTCAACGGGTGGTGATCAATGGCTCCATGTCTAGTTGGTAGCCGGTATCAAGTGGAGTGCCCCAAGGTTTGGTCCTGGGGCCGGTTTTGTTCAATATCTTCATTAATGATCTGGAGGATGTCGTGGACTGCACTCTCAGCAAGTTTGCAGATGACCCTAAACTGGGAGGAGTGGTAGATACACTGGAAGGTAGGGATAGGATACAGAGGGACCTAGACAAATTAGAGGATTGAGCCAAAAGAAACCTGATGAGGTTCAACAAGGACAAGTGCAGAGTCCTGCACTTAGGACGGAAGAATCCTATGCACTGCTACAGACTGGGGACCGAATGGCTAGGCAGCAGTTCTGCAGAAAAGGATCTAGGGGTTACAGTGGACAAGAAGCTGGATATGAGTCAACAGTGTGCCCTTGTTGCCAAGAAGGCTATTGGCATTTTGGGCTGTATAAGTAGGGGCATTGCCAGCAGATGGAGGGACGTGATCATTCCCCTCTATTCGACATTGGTGAGGCCTCATCTGGAGTACTGTGTTCAGTTTTGGGCCCTACACTACAAGAAGGATGTGGAAAAATTGGAAAGAGTCCAGCAGAGGGCAACAAAAATGATTGGGGGCTGGAACACATGACTTATGAGGAGAGGCTGAGGGAACTGGGATTGTTTAGTCTGCAGAAGAGAAGAATGAGGGGGGATTTGATAGCTGCTTTCAATTACCTGAAAGGGGGTTCCAAAGAGGATGGATCTAAACTGTTCTCAGTGGTAGCAGATGACCAAACAAGGAGTAATGGTTTCAAGTTGCAGTGGGGGAGGTTTAGGTTGGATATTAGGAAACACTTTTTTACTAGGAGGGTGGTGAAGCACTGGAATGGGTTACCTAGGGAGGTGGTGGAATCTCCTTCCTTAGAGGTTTTTAAGGTCAGGCTTGACAAAGCCCTGGCTGGGATGATTTAGTTGGGGATTGGTCCTGCTTTGAGCAGGGGGTTGGACTAAGTGACCTCCTGAGGTCCCTTCCAACCCTGATATTCTATGATTCTATAATATTTCATCCTACATTAAATCTGCACATTTACTATCTCTTGTTAATCAGATTTGCTTTGAACCTTCTCTATGGGTAAGATAAAATCCTAGGTAAGAAGTATGGTTGGAAATAAAGCTAAACCGTTTTTATAGTGAAGATTGGAGGGTGGACTGCACCATCTTGCTACCCTTGATAAAGCAGCAGTCAAAGGGCTGGACAATCTAGATATCGATTTGTGATGTGTATGAAAGAAGAAGATAGTGAAGTCACATTCACCCCAGAGCAACTTTCCTGTCAATGGGAAGAACAAGGGTTGTGAAACTTCATTCATTAATATAGTTAAGCACTGTTATTATTCTGTGGCATTATGGTAGAAGTGGGTCTCGCGAAGGGATTTGAAGGAGAGTGCTGTGGCCTTTTCGATTAGTCTGAAGCGATGAACCAGGCACAAGTGAACCGGGGAAGAAAGAGCCAAGGTGCTTGTGGGAGAGGCAGATGAATGGGTGATGGAGGCTGCCATTGTGGGAGGCCTGGGGATGCTGGGGGCGATGCAGTGAGATACAGGAGCAGACAAGTAGGGAAAAGCTGCATTATGAGGAGTCTTAAAGGTAGGGAAGAGGCGCTTGTGTTCCATAGAGTGGGGGGAAGACTAAATACCTTCCCAGGGCCTGAGGCCCCCTGACTCATCCACTACAACTCAGTGAGTCTCTGGGTCTGCAACTCATCCCAGAGTCAGGGAAAAGGCTTGAAACCTGCCCTCCACAAGGGGCTAATATTGGTCTGTCAATCACCCGACTTCCCTTCCTGATGGGCTAAATTCTTTTTTTTAAACTGGGCCTTAGCCACTTAGTGAGGCATTGCTAGGCAGGATAGCAGTGTGGGTGGGCCCAGCCTGATTTTTCCCATTGATGTATTTTTGTGATTGAGCAAGAGTAACGAGGAGTCCTTGTGGCACCTTAGAGACTAACAAATGTATTTGGGCATAAACTTTTGTGGGTTAGAACCCACTTCATCAGATGCATGGAGTGAAAATACAGGAGCAGGTATAAATACATGAAAGGGGAGGGCTAGCTCGGTGGTTTGAGCATTGGCCTGCTAAACCTAGGGTTGTGAGTTCAATCCTTGAGGGGGCCATTTAGGGATCTGGGGCAAAATCAGTACTTGTTCCTGCTAGTGAAGGCAGCAGGCTGGACTTGATGACCTTTCAAGGTCCCTTCCAGTTCCAGGAGATAGGATATCTCCATAAATTTAATTTAAAGGAGGGGTTGCTTTACCAAGTGTGAGGTCAGTCTAACAAAATAAATCAATTAATAGCAGGATACTAAGGGAGAAAAAATAACTTTTGAAGTGGTTAGAGAGTGGGCCATTACAGACCGAGATTGATTTGATTGAGTGACCCTCTTGCCAGGTCAACAACCACTCTTCCTCTGTCACTGTAATTGGCAGAAGAGGTTGAACAGAATATGATTTTTCGATTGATTAGATGAGACTTGTTGCTAGGCAGAGTATCCAACCCATTGTTGGGGTACCAGGCTGTGTATTTGCTGGAGAAAAGCAGGTATGTTTTTATATGAAGATAATTATTCAGTGAATAATGCAAATCATGACAACAATCATCAACTTTATGGACTTTGTGGATACAGTTTCTGTTTGTTCTGGAATTGACCCGAATACAGCTGAAATCCTAAGAATTTGTGGCACAAACACATCTGATACTCATACAACCCTTCCTCATTCCTTCCTTTTCTCAAATTCTGAACAAAATGGTTTTCAGTTAAAATATAAAATTGCACGGCAGCCATTGCTCTACAACCCAGCCTAGGGCAGAACCTGCCACCCCTTGGAAGTTAAGCGATCTCCTCTCCGCTGACTCTCATTCTCCCTCCTTCCTAACCTCTGTGCTGCTTTTCATGCTGTCAACCATGGTATCCATCCTGGGACCATTTACTGGAGTCTCAGAGAACTGGCCACCTTGGTTTTGCTCTCATCTATCAGAATCACTGGATAGGGAGCTAGCCCCGAAAGGCCTGGGTTCTACTCCCGCCATGGACTTCTGTCTGACCCCACCCCAGGCCAGTGCTTTAAGGACAGAATTTCAAAGGTTTTTAGGCACCCAAAGGTGCAGTTAGATCTCTAGTGGGGTTTATAAAGCACCAAATCTTCTAAGTGCATTTGAAAATCTCATGAGGTGCCTCATTTGAAAATCTGGCCTTTAGTCTGTGTGTGCCTCAGTGCCCCACCTGTACAATGGGATAACAGCACTGCTCTACTTCGCCGAGGGACTGGGAGGAGAAATCGGTTAGACGTTGTGAGGCGCAGCCTCAGATACTATGGTGATGAGGCCACATAACTACCACAGGTAGAGTGAAAACAACAAGGCGTCCTCGTGACACCTTCGAGACTAACAAATGTATTTGGGCATAAACTTTTGTGGGCTACTGCCCACTTCATCGAATGCATGGAGTGAAAAATACAGTAGACAGGTAAAAAGATGGGAGTTGCCTTACCAAGTGTGAGGTCAATGGTAATGAGGCCAATTCAATCAGGGTAGATGTGTGAACCTCTCTACACGCTGTCAAGTATCAGAGGGGTAGCCGTGTTAGTCTGAATCTGTAAAAAGCAACAGAGGGTCCTGTGGCACCTTTAAGACTAACAGAAGTATTGGGTGCATAAGCTTTCGTGGGTAAGAACCTCACTTCTTCAGATGCAAGTGCATCTTCTGCTTTTCTCTACACACTGTTAGCCCTTCCCTGGGTCTGACCCCGTCTTTTCACCTACACCCCCAAATCTCCCCCTTTTCTGAATGCAACCTAGGCTCTGTGCTTTGCTGTATTTTTGTGTGAATCCCCTGCTTGTGTTCCCCCCTAAAACAACCCCTCCTCCCTCTCTCCACCTCCATGGAGGGATTCCTCTTTTGCAGGCTAAACTTCCATATCCTTCATTTAATCACCAGCCCTTTCTGATTTTAATCACCCGGCCTCTGCTTGTAAACAAAATACTGACTCCCTGCCCCGGGCCACCTCTCCTCTGCACAAGGGCACACTCTCTCCCTCTAACAATATAGCCCTAAAGCGCAGCCTATTGGGAGAGTCCCCGCCCGCTTCCATCATTCACTTTCACTTTGTCTCGAGCTGGTCTGGTTCCGAGCTGGTCTCTTGCTGCTGCTGCGGGGCCGTCGGGCCTGGATTGGAGCCGGATCCGGAGCAGGACTGTGGGCTTGTGTCCTGCTGGCGGCCGGGAGCTCCGGGGAAGGGCGCTGGGGGACCCATGGGGCGGACACCCCAGGACAGGGCGGGGGCACCCGCAGCTTGTCACTGATCGGACCTGGGGCCGCGCTGCGCTGTAGCGGGCAGAGACTCAATGCCCAGCGGGGAC